CAACGCCAACAACAATTGCCTCACGGGGGGGGGGCCTGCGTATAAACGCTCGGCCAGCTTGTTTATAGCCCGCTCGCACCGCAGGTAGGCTCGCTTGCGCAGCTTTCGGAAGGGCTTCAGCATTATCCCAGCAGCCCTCCAACAGGTCCGGATCACCATTCTCACCCGCCATAGCAAGACTTCAGTGCTCGCCATACCACGTGTCGGGCACCTGCTAAGAGATGGTGGATGGGAAGGATTGGCACCATTGCAAGGCAGCAGGGTCGGGGTTATTGAAGTCGTGACAGGACAATTGGTGACATGACGTTCACTCTCGTTCCACTGTACACCGGTAACACTCGTTCGTAGAGGTATTGCTCAGACTCAGGGGGCATTGCATGTCACTGGGCAACTGTCTGCTCATGCTGGCCATGCTTCGCCATGGCGTAGGATGACTTGACAGGGCCAGCAGTTGTATTACCGTGTTCATCGACCGCGGTGAATATGGGCGTGCCCCCCCCCAGGGTCCATGCCGGTGATCATGTGGATCTCGGCATTCTCGTTGGAGGGTCATACGACTGCAGCGGGTGGAGAAGGAGTACAGTACGACTCGTGCAACAGTGGCGAGAGGGGGATGCTTGTCGGGCCACTCCCATGTCAACATTCGCATGCCTGACCAGTCTCATGAGACCCATCAACAAATATTTATGAAGCCTGTACATGTCCTGGCACGCGATGTTCTTTAGGCTCGTCGTTTTGTACCCGTCGTCCCATTTGGCGTGCAGTTACGGACCTTCATGCGGTGGCAGAGGGGAATCGACGAGTGTGTAGCCCTACTAGCATGGATCCATCCGTTTAGCTTTTGTTTCAGCTTGCAAATGTAACCAAATCCACATCGCAGTGGTAATCAGACTGCAATGCCTGCCATCCTTTGCTCGACTTGTCGATGTATGACCTGGATTGAGTAAGGGATCAGTAGGGTGGCACATATGAATGCACAGCTGAACAAACACGGCTGCCCCAGAGGCTTCTTGACTTGGCACGAGGTGAACTTAAGACGCTGATTCAGTGAAAGATTGGCTGCACTCTCTGTTTGCCCTCGTGGACTCAGGCTCAGCAGCTGGACGCATGTAGTGCTGCGTTAGCTACTCAGCGTATCACGCACCCTCGCTAGAGATTGCAGAGGAGCAGCGCATCGGTATCATCCATTCCTATGCATGCCAATCCCTGTTCATCGAGCAAGCCCTTTCCCGCTTTTGTAGTCCACCTCGACGTAGGCTGTCTCAAACATTCACTTCACATCCCGGAGACGCTCGCTGGGCAGCCTCACCCATGTCTAGGGGGGATGTACCTTGCCGCTCTAGGCTTGGACTCAAAAGGACACTCATGGGCCATCAGGGCATGGTGATGGTGGGGCACGAGATGAGGAGCACGGCATGCAGGTGCGAGGAGCAGGAATGCTGCGGCAGAGTATGGCGGCGGCACCGGCGGGAGGCGCTCAGGGATCGGGCCGGGCTCGCACCTGTCCCCCTCCCTCGACGCCGGCAGCGTCTGAGTCATGCACGGCGTGGGGACCGGGAGGTATGACTTTCATGTATCCTGGGCCATTCCAAGTCACCTCGGGTCAGGGGGAGGGTGCCGGGGCACTCGCCTCCGACTCCAGGGACGACACGCAGGCCGCCAGGTTCCCGATGGGGGCCTGCACGTTGCGCAGTGCCAGCGACAGGATGATGCTCGCGTTCTGGGCCGCCGCCTGGTTGATGGCGCCTGCGGCGGGGGTGGTATGCGGGGCAGGGTGTCTGGGGGTTGACAATGGCAGTGGAGTGTGGGGCTGCATGCCACCCCCTGCCCAGATCGCTGACTGGGTGAAGGGGCGCCGGGGCATGCCTCGGACGAAGTCTGCGCCCGGCTGCCTCATCGCATGCACCACCCCCTTTGGTCCCAAACGCACCCTTGAGGGCGTCGGTGAGGGGCGGGTAGCACCCGACGCTCGTGACCATGGAGTTCAGCGTGATGGCCGAGGTGGAGACGGTGTCGGTGCGCAGGAGGGACTGGTAGATGAGGTCGGAGGCGGTGGCCAGGGAATTGCGCGCCACGGCGTCCGCCAGGGTCAGGCTGTAGGCCTGGCCCACCTGGCTGATGGTGGAGGCGGCCAGGGGGAGGACGCTGCCTGCGGGGAGGGTTGGGGTTGAGGGAGGGTCGGCATGGACATGGTTCAAGAGATATGGAAGCACTGCGGCAGGCAGCACTCCCCTGTGTATACCAGCGAGAGCTGGGAGTCGAAAGGTGACTGGCATTCCACACCCAAGACCCAGCCCGGGCACCTACCGGTGGCAGTCACGGTGACGACGGGGGCATCGGAGAAGTTGGCAGGCAGCAGGACGGCGCTGAAGTCGCGGGCATCGGAGCCACCGGGAGGGGGAGGGGGGCTCACGGTGTTGATCACCACCTTGCTACCGGTGACGTAGTCGTTCAGGGTGCCCGTCCATGCCAGCGTACCAGGCTTGTCGGACTCTGAGGCTTGTGCAGTTACGATCTCGGGGGAAGCCTCCCCCGCCAGGAGCACTCGGGCTGCAAGGGCGGGGAATAGAGGATCTGGAAGCTAGTGTTCACTATAGCACACCACGAAGACGCACCAGTGTCTGGGGAACCTGGGTACCTGGTCCTGCGTTGACGAGCCCAGTTGCGCTCAAAAGGACGACCACGAGAGCCAGGCCGCATGTGGCGCTGCGAGACATCCTTGAAGAGGATGTGTGTATCGGCCTTGGTACAACTACTGGGAATGTGGATGTGTTGGACGTCCGACTGCACTCGAATTGGAAGGGGCTCGCCGATTTTCAGCCGTTACGGTGCCCCGGAACAGCTGTCCCTGTACGCGGCACCGGGTGCCGGCGCATTCAACTTCTCGACGAGGGTAGATTCCCCAAGCTTCGGCAAGATGATGTGCAAACCGTCTCCAGAAAATTATGCTGGTTGACTCTAGACATTCTTAGGCTACTTTGCGTGTGGAAACAGTCGATGTCAGACTTCTACTGCGAGGTCGGTGCGCCTGTCTCCTGTTTGAGCCATGCGAATGACGCCAAGGTCTGAACAGTAAGCTGTCGCGCAAACTCATCCTCTCCACATTTCATGACTATCCATGCATAAATGACGATGGTTGGAAGGTAGCCCGTCTAGCACCTGCGCATTTCAACCCGTTCTTGTTGGCGATGTACTCGAACGCCATGGCGGAGATTTCGGACAGCTGGGAGGCTTGTTCATACGTCCACAAGCCTGGATGGCTGGGCTCTACACCCACAAAACACCTGGAGGTCGTTTCAGGGTCCATCATCAGGCCCCATGTTCCACTCACTACCATGCGCCGTCCAGGCTACCACCATCGTCGTCATCATCATCCCCTCCGCCGAGGTCGTTCATGTGCACAGCCCCTTCCAGGTGATGGATCAAGGCTTGCAGGCCGTCCCTCCCGGCAGCATCCGAAAGCCTGGCGGCCTCTCGTGCATCAAAGAGGGCATGGTGCAGACGCCCAGCGGCCTCGGCATGTGCAGCGCGCGCTGCATGCGCTCGGCAGAGTCTCTGTCCCGCCGCCGCACGCTCGGGGGGGGAGTCATGGCAAGCCTCAAATGCCTCGCACGCCTCCCGGACGGCTGCATCCAGGGCAGCCTCCGCCTCACTCGTGCTGTGTGCTGAGGCACGTGGAGGTGGCCGGTACACCCGCTGCGGCTGCGGAGGGGCGGTCTGACCATGGTGCACCACCCGGGGTCCATAACCAGCCCCCGGCGGGCCCTCCTCCCGCGCCGCCAGCCTGTCGTCGTAGGCGGCCCGCTCCACAGCGTCGCTGAGGACGGCCCATGCACGCTGCACGGCGCTGAAGGCTTCGGCGGATCCCCCGCGGTCTGGGTGTGCCGTCGGCAGGGCGGCCAGGTACGCCTTGCGCAGCTCCCCCGAGCTGGCGCCGGGGACGCAGCCCAGGACGTCGTACAGAGTGCCTGGAGCAGCCATGAGGTCCTGGGGTAGGGGCTGCAAGGATGAAAGGAGTCGGGCGTGGGGTGCCAGTGTGGTGGCCAGAGCAATGCTGAAAGTCCTTGCTCTGTGTCTTCATGCAGCCCGCATGGCCGATAGAATGCCATCGTACCTGATTAGTCAGGAGCGACTGCCTTCCGTAGCAACATCAGAGCCAAGGCATCCAGTTTGGAGGAAAAGCGAGCCCGTCACAGGACCTGCACGATTTGCAAGACCAAGAGCAGTAACGAGGCGCCTGCGAGGCTGATGCCGAGCCTTATTCCGCTGAGAGAATATTGCTAGGGTTGGAATGCTTCCAGCGTGATAGATTGATTCCTTGTACATTTATAAAACTTGCTACATCAGGATGCGGGACCCACGGAAAGTCAAACCAGGGTTGCATGCGCAGCACATCACAGCAAGCACGCGCAGTGGCAGCTCCTCATGAGGGGCAGACAACCTAGTCAGGGAGGCTGATCAGGGCTTCAACACTGGTTCAGAAAGACAACAATACATAAGAGAAAGTAGACAGGGCTGCACATCCCGATCATGGGTAAAACAGCAGCCACGGCAAGATCGCCTTTGGCGCATGAGGAGCCGATCCAGGTACGCTGGGACACGCGAGATATGTACGCAGGATTCCCAACATAAACAAGTATTCAATGCTGCAGCCCTCGATACCCCATCTCCCGAGATGCAGGTGCGGCTGGACACCAGGAAGGATTGCTGGCTGGCTGTCTCCTACATGCCCTGGTTCCAGTACGACGCCTCGGCAGGGCAGGGCAGAGGCATCGCCACTCCCAGCGAGACTCCCGGAAGGCTCCGGCTGAAGTTCAGCCCTTCAGATCTCCACATACCATCCCTGAGCTGGCGGACCACCAGTGTCGGAATCGTCCCCCTCCCGCCAGGCATCGCCATCCACATCCATCCCCAGGTCAGGGAGGAGGGCTAGGAGTGCAATGCGACACTCGTGGGGTACTGCCGGGCCCTCTATTTCCCAGAATATTATTGGGACGAGGGACAGAAGGCCACAAACGCTTGCGCAACCCGCATCCCAAATAGGTACTGGAGGGATGGATGGACGAGAAGACGGGCGAGGTGCAGCTGCAGTATGACTCCCGCTTCTCGGCAGCCATCCCATGCTACTCCCCGCCCAGCATCCACGTGGCCTGCACGCTGAGCACGGAAGGCCGCATAGAAAGGGGAAGCAGGGAGTTCAAAGGCCTGCGCCTGCAGCATGGGCATGTGGTCCTGGTGGGCAAGGCCACCATCCCGGCGACCGGGCACTGGTTGACGGACACCCTGCTGCAGCTCCCAGCTCAGTGCTGTTGCGTCCTCTCTGCGACCCTGAGGTTTGAGGAGGCAGGACAGCATGGCCAGCTGCAGGAGCTCCTGGTGCCTGAAGGGCCTGAGTAGCTGGTGACATGTTCCACGGTTGCTGATGCCTTTGTGCATTTCAGCATGCCTGGAGTGCATTCCCCAGGTCTGCCACAGTTCTCATGCGTACCTTCCTCGGGTAGGGTTTTGCACCCTCGTGTGCTGTTACTCGCGATCCAGGCGTACCCTTCCAAGCACGGTCCACACTCTGCCCATGCCCAAACGGCGATCGCTGTATTTACAGTTCGTAATGGCCTCATCGCCCCGTGTTGCGATCAGGTCGTAAGCCAGCAACTCGCCAGCTGTCCCGGTTCCGACAGGGGTAAGGGAGGGCCGGACCTCCTCTTTAGCATGAGCGCCCCTGTTCCGACCAGCAACGGCGCCTCCCATCCCGTAGAGCATGCTCCAGAGGCCCTGGACGAGGGCATCGCGGGGTACACCAGCGTGGAGGCCCTGCTGGAGGTCAGCGGTCCCTCGGCGTACCGGGGGAAGGAACCTAGGCCAGCAAACATGCGACAGCATTCAGCCCCACCTCCCCCATCCCACTAAATCACAGGATAACCTGCCTCAGGACAAGCTCGAGGCTGTGAGGCGGCTCCTGTACGGGGTGAACCAGGGCCAGCTGGTCTCCGCCCTTGCCCTGCCCCCCCCACCTCCAGGAGGCAGTGGAGTATGGGGGCTTTGACGTGCAGAGCTACGCCTTCACCGCGCGGCGGGAGCAGCTGCGCGAGCCACGGGTCGTGCGCCTGGGCCTCATTCAGCACGGGATCCAGGTCTCCACTTCCAAGCCCTACGCTGTCCAGCGCGAGGTCAGGCTCTGCACAGGGGACTGTACTCGTGCACGGGGTCGGCACGGCGCGGCCCTGCGCCCTGCGGCCCGCGCGTGGCCAGAGAGCATGATCATTTCCTGCGGAGTGTGTTGAACGAATGGGCGTAGGCCACCGTGCGTGTGGGCCTCCCTGCGCCCTCCTGCACCGATGGCCCTGACTGCATGCCAGACCTGTTTCTCTCCCCCTCAACACCCCCTCGACCACGGCCTTCCCCACCAGGCCATATTCACGCGCGTGGAGGAGTTGGTGAGGATGGCGGGCCAGGCCGGGGTCAATGTGCTGTGCCTGCAGGAGGCCTGGCCCATGCCCTTTGCATTTTGCACCCGCGAGCGGGAGTGGTGCGAGTTCGCCGAGGACGCAGTCACGGGGCCGTCCACGGCGCTGCTCTCCTCGCTGGCGGTGCAGTACCGCATGGTGATCATTTCTCCTATCCTGGAGCGAGACTCAGCGCACGCCGACGTCATCTGGAACACTGCTGTGGTCATTGGGCACAACGGCAACGTCATCGGCAAGCACCGAAAGGTGGGGGCTCTTGATCTCAGTATTCCTGGGGGTTTCAGAGGAGGGGAGCCAACCCAAAGGCCAGCTTGTGGGCCGTGGGATGCTTGGGATAGCCGGGCGCCAGGACTGCCGGGCAGCCTGGCCCACCTCTTCTGCACTCTCACCAATCCTACTTCTGCCCTGCTCGGAGGTGACGAGCATTTCTTTCAAGATTACCCCCCCCCCCCCCCAACACACACGATCTGCTCAGAACCACATCCCGCGCATTCCGCCCTTTGACGAGTCGCACTACTACATGGAGGGCGACACCGGGCACCCCGTGTTCCAGACCGTCTACGGCCGCGTCGCGGTCAACATCTGCTACGGCCGGCATCACCCCCTGAACTGGCTGGCGTTCGGGCTGAACGGTGCGGAGGTGGTGTTCAACCCCTCTGCCACCATCGGCGCGCTCAGCGAACCGATGTGGGGCGTGGAGGCGCGCAACGCCGCCATCGCCAACTCCTACTTTGTCGCCGCCATCAACCGCGTGGGCACCGAGCTCTACCCCCACGCCTTCACCACCGGGGTCCAAGGCCAGGGCCCCCGCCAGGACATGGGCCCCTTCTACGGCAGCAGTTATGTGGCGGCGCCCGACGCATCCCGCACCCCGGGTCTCTCCCGCGATCGGGAGGGCCTGCTGGTCGTGGATGCCGACCTTAACCTCTGCCAGCAGGCACGCGGAGGTCTTGGGGTAGATTATGCCGTGAAGGGGGGCCAGATGTTTTGCAGAGGTACCATCAAGCATCAAGTGGAACATGGGGCGTGGCGCGACAGGCCACCATGCCCATCCTCCACCCTCTCCCCCATCCAACCCCACACAGGTGCGCGATCGCTGGGGCTTCCAGATGACGGCGCGGTACCCGCTGTACGCCCAGCTGCTCGGCGACTTCATCAAGCCGGGGTACAAGCCGCAAGTGGTCGTGGATCCCACCCTGGACTCCTCTGCCTCGCGCAAGGCCGCAGACTGCGAGAAGGGACGGTGAGTGGGTTCTGCTTGAGATGCCAATGAGGCAGCATGGCATGTTTCCAGCTGCAACATGCCGACTGGCCTGACTGCACCCTATTCTGTGGACTCCTGATCGGGTCTTACACAACGTGTAACATGTCTGCGACCATGCACATGCAATGGAGCACTGTCACGCCCGAGAGCGGAAGGTCAGGGAGCGGACCAGGGCCCCAAACTGAGTGCCATCCAGCGTCACGCGGCCAGTCAGTCGCGAGGGACCCATGTGAAGCGGGCCGCCATCCTGCACAGCAGGCCCTTGAAGCCCCGCTTGGCCTCCTCGCCGGCGCCTGTGTTGGATGTCTTTTCCCTCTTCGAACGCTTGGCTGGAGGTGGAGCGGCGTCCTGACATGTGCAAGTGGGGAGGGGTTGCACTTCGGTCGGGTGGCCATTTCACGGCAGGAGGCTGCACAGAGAAGGACTGGGCGAGGGTGCTGCTGGCCTGCGTATGGCCCTCTACAGACAAACACGCCCTTCCCCACCGCCAGGAATGCACTGCCCCACCCCCTCGAAAGCCCTTCACCTCTGGATCCAGGTCTCCGGCCACCTCCGCGATCTTGCGGCGCGCCGCCAGGATGGAGGGCGGCAGCGCCGGCCTTGGCCCCGGCCCCGGCCGGATCCTGGTGGCGTGCTCGCCGCCGCGCTCCAGGGTCACCACGTCCGGCGCACCCGGCGCGACGGGGGCGTGGAAGCGCTGCGCGGCAGCCAGGCCGCGGGCCCTGTGCCCCGGCCCGGACAGGTAGGCCTGGAGCTCTGCGGGGTCCACCTGGACCCCGGCCTCCGCCTGCACGGGGCTGGGCCCCGGCGGGACCTCCGCCGCCGCCTGGCTGGGTCCGGCCGCCGCCTGGGTCTCCAGGCCCAGGCCCCAGGGTTGGCTGGCCCCCGCCTCCTGCGTGAAGAGGGGCGGGCGCAGCGAGGAGTCCCACACGGCGCGGGGCAAGGGCTCGCTGGGCGGCCGCGGGACAGCCGCCCGCGGACTGGAGGGCCCGGCCTCTGGCGCCGCGCCGCCAGGCGCGGCCCGGTGGGAGGGCCCTGGCGGGTCTGCTGTCTCGCTGCACGGGGCAGCGTGAGATGGAGGGGCGCGGGGCGGCGACCCTCCTTGGGCCCTGACCAGCTGGGTGGGCTCCAGCGTGATGTGATCTGTGCATCGGATGCAGAGGGAGGGCCAGGAAGGTGAGGCATGGGGTCGGGAGAGCAGCGTCGACAGCAGGGACGGGCATGCTGCATGAGGAGATGAGAAAGTGACCTCTTGACAGGCGGCGGGAGGAGGTGAGCGGAGCGGAAGCAGTGAAAGCCATGTCGGACCCGCCTAGCGCCCTGCCATTCCACCCTGCTCCCACCATACCCTGGCTATCCTCGTCGGTGTCGTCGTCAGAGGTGTCTGAGCTGAACTCCTGCTCGCGTGAGGTACAGAGATAATCTGTTGTGAGTGAGTCCACACCCCCTCAGCACAATCCTCAGACCATTGACAGTCCCCCTACCAGTCAGCATGTACGCAGAAAAATACACCCCCCTGCACACACATCATCTTTCTCATCCACACAGACTCGCTCACCTCTTCCTCACCGCCCTGTACGACCCCAGCGGCTGCAGCCATGTTGGACTGCGCAGCGGGTGCCTGGGTTGCGTGAGTCTCCATCCTGACCTCCTCCCCGGCAGAGTCCTCGCGGTCCTCCACCTGCTGCACAGGCTGAGTCGCCGGGACTGGCGCAGTGGCTGCGGCGTGAGCCCGATTCCTGGTCAGGGCCCCGGGCGCGGTCTGGGCACGTGCCTCTGGCAGAGACTGGGCCTCTGCCTGAGGTTCCGGCTCGTCCTCGACCCCAGCCTCAGCCTGAGGTTGGGCCTCGGCCACGGCACCAGCATTAGCCTGAGATTGAGGCTCGTCCTGGGAGCGGGGCTCCGCCAGAACTTGGGTTGCGGACAGGGTCTGGGTCTCGGCCTGGTTCTGACGCTCGGCCTGGGGGTGGGTCTGTGGGGTCTGTGTGGGGTGTGGAGCACCCCCCGCCAGTCTCTGGCTGGGGCTGGTCTTACAAGCGGGGCTTGCTGCCGATGGTCCTGCAGCATCGCTCCCAGGCGCAGCCCTCAGCTCCATTTGTTGCGACGGCGGCGACAGTACTGGTGGCGGGTTGGTTGGGCTCGATGTCGATGCAGGCGCGGTATCTGCATGGAGAGGAGCTGGCTCGCTTGATGGATGGAGAACCTGTGCCGGACGACTGGCTTCCACTGTACAAGGCCAAGCAGGTTTTCGAGCGGGGAACATTGTGGGAATATGGATGAAACATCTGCTCTGCACACCCAGAGGGTGACATACCTCTGTCGATTCCCTCTGGTGATGGAGGGGATGCGAGCTGGGTAGGGGGAAGGAACTCCATCCTCCTGGGTGACAAGTTTTGCCTGCCATAATGTGCCACAGAACGCAGTCGGCCAACAAGTTCATCGCCAGTCACGTTCATGTCGCGTGATCGAAGGTGCGCTGAGAGCTCCCAGGCTGAAGGTGGAGGAGAGGGTTGAGGAGTGGATTGAGCTTTAAACAGCCAGCCAGCCAGCTCTCGAATAGTATGACTCGATTCCAAGTTTCAAGACGTAGCTCACCTTCAGCGCTGTTCAGTATGACCTGTTGCGCCTGAGGAATGTTCATATCGGCGGCTATATCTGCCGGATCAGCGTCGAGAAGGTATTGTGTGGCCATCGCAGGAGGTGCAGGGGCTGGCTAGGCGTGCCCCGGCGCAATCAGCACTCGATAGATTCACTTTTGGCGAAGCACTTCTCTGATCATGCCCCTGGCATGCAGCGTCACGGTGGTAACTGCCGCGATCGTGCTTCGCGTAGCACGGGTTGGCTTGTACTCGGGTGTTCACCCGTGAAACGCATGCGCTGCGTATCTTTTCAAGTCGAATCGGGAGATCGCCACCAAGAGGAAGAACGCTAGGGACCACTTTCCCAGCAGTATCATGGTTGCTATTTCGTGTAAATATACAGTGTATCTGCGCAATAAGGCGACTTGGACCTGGATGGTCGTCAAAGGAGGGTCTTGATATTTCCCCGGGTACAAGGGCCGGGAGCATGGTTGGGATGGGCAAGCCGGCGGCGGGGAGCTCAATCATAATAAGCCGTCAGGGTGCTCAGGTCTCTGCCGGTCGCGAATCTTGGGTCCGCATTGCTCGGCGTGCGCGTGCGTGTCGGTCAGCGTGTCAGTCGGTGCGTAGAACGGGAGCCAGCCACGGCCTCAGTCGAAGCAGGGGTCCAGGTCGGTGGCGTCCCCGTCCTCCCCGCTCTCCAGCCCCGAAGCGAGGCCGGGTTCCTCGGGCTTCCTGGCGCGCTGCGCCTCCAGGGCGGCCCCCAGCGCGCCCAGCGCGCCGGCGTCGTGGCACAGGATGGCCTCCACCGGCAGCTGGGCCAAGGCGTCGGCAGGGTCGGCGGCCGCGCAGGCCGCGCGCGCGGCCGCCACCGCGCGCGCGACGCAGGCGGCCGCACGCCGTGGGTCCAGGGGCGGCGCCGGGGTCGCGCCGCGCGGGCCCTCCAGCCACCCCGCCACGCAGGCGCGCAGCTCGTCCCAGGCGCCCGCCACGCGCTCCAGCCCGTCCGGCAGGCCAGCGCAGGCGTCCAGCTCCGCCTGCCACGCCTCGCCGCAGGTGGCCAGCGCGGCGTCGTCGGCCAGCAGCGCCGCGCGCAGCTCCTGCGTGCGCGTGAGGGGTGTGTGCTGGGTGCGGCCCCAAACAATGCTGCCTCATTACGTCCACACTGGCCCCACATGCAGGAGGGAGTCTCTGCGACGAGCACCAAGGACACGAGGCGCGCAGCGACAGGAGGTTCCCGGCAGCCGCTGACCCCTGCGCAGAGGGGCACGCAGCCTGAACACGCCGCCTCACCCTGAGCCGTGCCACCAGGTCGGCAGGCCCCTCGGCGACACGCAGGGCGCGGCGCCAGCCGGTGCGCTTGGTGCGCCAGTAGCGCCGCACCAGGCCCCACGGCACGCTCTCCTCCATGGCCAGGATCTCCAGGGTCAGGCCGCGGAGGAGGTCGCGCTGCCAAGGCTCCAGCCCGGCGGCGCCGTTGCCGGGGGACGCCGGGGACGGCAGCGTCTTGCCCCGTGCAGCGGTGCCGTAGCCGAGCGGACCCCGTGGTCGGCTGGGGTGGGCGCCGTTGCGGTGTGCATGCTCCGGGAGACCCTTGTGCCGCTGCGAGGGTGGACAGGGTATTGTCGCTGGGAAGGCACAGACATTCAGTGTGGGAGCAGACGGATGCGAGACAGAACGGAAGGGCGAGCTTGAGCCTGGCCTTTCCGACAACCGGTCCACCAACCCC